AGTTTATACCATTTTCCATCGACTTTTGTCAAGGTATCATGCTGTTGCTTGCACTGCAAGAAAGCGTCGGATACATCAAGACTCAGCAGGGACCAGCCGTCCCCAAAGTTGCGAATGAAAAGTGATGGAACAATTCTCAGCATGCACTGAGTCGTGGTCGGTGCAAACAAGTGCTGCCTGCCCGGATCTAAATGCGCAAATTCTCGCGCAACCAGCCTGGCTCTGCGCAACCAAACGCGCTCTCCCTTGATGACTTTAGGCCTCCATGTGCGGACGTACTTGGAAGACAATGTCCGATGCCCTTCAAGCCAGGACTCACTTTGTTCAAGAACACCGGCTTTCGTCAACCGATCAAGCTCAAAGGAATCTGCTGCAGCATCAATGGCTTCAAGCTCGGATGCATCGCACACTGGCTCAGTTTCACTGAAAGGCTTAATCAAAATGCTAGGGATGTCAGGCGCATTGGCTGCATCATCAGTCCAATCCTCAGTGTCCCACAAGGACTCATCCGCACAATCAAGAAATTGCTCTGCACTTTCATCAAGAAGCTCGGGAGCCTCATCGTGATGGAACATTTCACAATCATGTGCACTTGTCTGAACAGCATCAAGACGAAGCTTCTTTCGGGCTGGAGCTTCCCCGCCTGCTTCCTCAGTCGCAGGTCGTGCTATCCCAGAGGACGAAGAAGCGATCCCAGGCCCATCATCAAACGACACAAGTGGCGAGGCCGTTTCAACTTGCATCGGAGTTTCTGCTTGCTGCCCTGGAGTGGCCGCTACAGGCGTGGGCGGCTCAGGTGAATGCAACACCGGCTCTCGGGGCAGCGGTGGCACAAACTCTTGCAGAATTGCATCGTCGGGCAACAGATGACCCGGAAACGGCAAAGGATTCTCCGCCGCACCTGCTTGTGATGGCACTTCGGCTTGCTGCTCAACCTGAGGCTCGGTTCCGGCACTCTCATCACCCTCAAGCGTTTTCTGCTTACGTGCTTGACCAACTTGGCCTGCAAGAAAAGACGCTTGGCTCCAAGGCATGTCGCGCAGCTTGGCACACAAGGATGAATCATATTGCTTTGGCAACCGTCTAACAGACCTTGAGGACAGCATGAATCCTCCTTCGGTGACCCCAAAATGTAGGTCCGACACAGGAAGTTTTCCAAGCCAAAGCATTTTGCACCAGCGTGCTTTTCCTTTGACACTGCTTTTAACCCTTGCGTAGACATTTTCTCCGAAGCAAACAAGTTTCCCCGCATATGGCCTGCCATTGATCACTTGAAACGCACTGAGGTCGTTGTGCCGTGACATCCGCATGTGAAGCCAGGCAGCATGCCTCCAAGCATATGCGTGCACTGGGTGCATTGCACCTACAGTTGTCTGAGCACGCTCCTCAAACTGATCAAGAATGCATCCTGCAAGCTGCCGAATGCTGTCAATGGCCTGCTCCGAAGCATTGGACTGGTGATCACCTGGCTCAGTCTGTTCCAAGTGGGTTCGCAACCCCATCTTGGTCCTGAAAGCTTTGATGCCCTGCTGAAGTGCTAAGCAAGCTGGCTCACCGTCAGACCTGATCGTGACAGACTCGTGCCCACAGTAATTCAAGAACCGACAAACTTCGGCAACAAGATACTTGAAAGCAACCGGTCCGCCCTTGGCTGGCGTTGGCAGAGCATGCATCGCTCCTGTGTGGGAGTCTTTCAACACAAGGCAAACAAGCTTGTCCTTTGATGCACCTTCAAACTCAGCTGGGCTGCTCCGGCCTGTATAAGCAAAATCAAAGCTGCACACCGAATCGTCCCGCAGCTCAGGTTTGCTCGACACATGTTTGTCGGCTTTGGCGCGGAACTTTACACAGTGTGGGCACCAATCTGCAAATGGCACATGGCTGAGCTCGTGGCGACGCTTCTGCTCTGCAGTTGGCTCTTCGACAAACTTTTGTTCAAGCGGCAATGGCACACCATCAGTCTGGAAAGCATGTTGTTGCAGCAACTCCTGGGTTTTCAAGTGTTGCTCGATCCTCGCGAAGACCGTTGCTTTTCCTCCAGACTTGCCTATTCCAAGAACTTCACAGGCCGACCTTAGGGTCTTAAGGGTACACCCGGGATGCAACTCAACCCCATTGACCACAACATGACCCTGGGAAGGAACTTCGGCGGGAGGCACAGGTCCTACACCGCCACCGTCATCATCCTCAGCATTTTCATCCTCCTCAATCATGCTTTCATCAGGCGATGCATCAGCATACTCGCCATCATAACTTTCATCATTCCACGGAACATGCTGCTGACCAAACAGCTTTTCAACTTGCAAAGGATCAACAGAGCCGATGGTAATGATGTGGCGGGACCCTTTAGGCTCAAACTCCTTCTCAAGATCATCAAAGAGGCTGGTCAAGCAGTTGATTTCAATCAGTTTCCATTCGGCACCATCGTACTGAAGGGTCGTGCGAAAGCTCACTCCGTGGTGGCCCAAAGGCACTGACACATCAAGAAACCGATTCGACTGATCTTGCCTGGCAAAAATTCCAGGCTGCATCTCCGTGTATTGGCTACCCAAGTTCAGCCATGCACTTCCAAGCTTGATTGCACGCACAGCAGCAGCATCGGGGCCACCTGCTTCACCGCTCTGGGGCACCTCGACCTGTTGATCCCTGCCGTGCGCATATTCATCATCAAGCTCGTCCCCTTCGGAAAGAGGCGTGGCTTCCTGGGGCTCGTGGACTGCATTGTCCTCTCTGTCATCGTTCAAACAGTCGTTGGCACACACCACCACGCTCATGATGGAGCCTCGCGCATGCAAGGAATTGTGCCTGTAGTGCATAGGCACGCGCACTGTGCCCCCAGGATTTGTCAAGTAAGGAACACCGTCACTGTGGATGATGTCCCATCCCCGCCTGAGCAACTTGCCGACACTGAAAAGCGGCTGTGTCACACTGCTCAACAGCCACCGCTCCTTAAATTGAACACCGTCAATCTCAAGCACTGCCGTACGCATTTGCGAACCCCTAATCGTGCGACCCTGGGCATCCCTAAAACTATCAAGGCTCGCTCCATCAGCCCTTCCAACGTGTGCCCAAGACAGTGGCAAGCATGAGGCATCCGACCCAGAGTCGACCACAACCTCAATCTCATTGCTCATGTCTGCCCATGACACGGCACACACACGAAGGTCCTGCAGTGGATGCACAGGTGGGCTCACAAGATGCTCAGCGGCACTCTCGCACTGGTGCACCGTCGGCTCGCACTGCAATGGCTGCCGTGATCGCCTACCTGGCCTCGCATGCTTGCGGGCTGTAGCCCTGCATGTCACATACTCTCGTGCACTGCTCAAACAGCCCACACAGGAGGCTTCACGCATCTCATTCGGCACTGTCCAGACACAGTCACTGTCTGAATATGACATGTCAAACACTTCAGCTTCTGGCACCGGCACAAGAACATGTGGCTTCAAAGGGTCAACGCATGCAGACGCCAAAGACTCGCACAGTGAAGCAAAACTCGGCTGGGCAGTAGCTGCAGCTGGATCCTCAGGGCACACCTTTGTCAAAACACGCAAGTGACCGCTGATCTCATCATCATCCTGAAACGCACTGGAAGTCATGTCAATCTCAACTCTCGCAACACGCTTCGCTGTGGTAGCCGTGCTGCCTGCAACCTGCGATGCTGACGGACCGACTGTGCTTGGCGCCCCAACGGTGGACGCTGTCTCTGAACCCTGTGCTTGAACCTGCTGCACCCTCGGACGCCAGCACTCAGAAGCATAATGGCCCTTGCGCTGGCAATTGTGGCAAACTACATTTGCACGGGAACCCTTGGCACCAGGATTCTGCGGCTGCTGTCCACCTTTGCCTTTGTGCTCCTTGCCTTTGTTGCTCTTGCCCTTTGGCTTGCCATCTTTGCCCTTGCCCTTGCCACCATAAGGATTCTGCGGTTGCTGTCCACCTTTGCCTTTGCGATCTTTGCCATCCTTGCCTTTGCTCTTGCCCTTTGGTCCCTTTCTCTGAAGCGCATCAACCTCCATCGGGACTGGGCCTTGCTCGACAGAACTGGGCAAAGGCACTACACCAAGAGCTTGGTGCATTTTAGCCGGAGTCCAAGACGTTGTCGTAACTTCATACCCCAGAACGTAGTCCCTGATGCTTTGGTAATTACTGGAGTCTGTCATCTGAAGTTGAACGTGTTGTTTTATCGCAGAGGGAAGGGAACGAACTAGTGTGCCTAGCATAACCTCTTCCCCAGGATAGTGTCCAGTGACCCTTTGATATTCTTCAGCTATTCTCTCGAGGCCTTGGATGTGTTCCCGCAAGCTGCGATCTTTCCCGAAGCTCGGGAGCGTCATAAGAGCATTCAAGAGAGCAAGTCCTCTGAATTTCGATTTGGGTGCGAAGGTATTGGTGAGCACCCGCCAGACCTCTAGGCCGTTTCTGTTGCTGACCTGACGCAAAATCGCTTTTGGCTTCGAACGAAGAATGCTTGCAAGAATCGCGTAGAGCCTCTGAGACCTGGCAATGCGATCAGGCGAAGCCCCAGTCAGATCAACAGGGCCCTGCAAGTTGTCCTCTACAAGCTTTAGGTCCTGCTCAAACTGGCTTTCAGCGAAAACCAGCCACGTTCTGAATGAGTGGCTCCATTCAGACCAATTTGCAAGATCGTTGTCATGTACCCCGGACCCAAATTCCGAAGGGCGATTAAGAATCTTATTCGCATCCGAAAATCCCGAAGTCAAATTGCTCGAAGGCCTTGCAACGGCTGCCTGAGCAGCCTGTGACGCTGCTTGCGCCGTCTCAACCATCTGTGCCATAAGCAACTGCATCTGTGTCATGTCGATTTGCACAAACTGCTGTGGTGCTTGCTGTCCCTGCCCAACTGGCGAGAACGGGTTCTGAGTCACTGGCGGCTCAACACCGGCACTGCCTGCCGGCTGCTGGGGCAACTGCGGCCCCTCATACACATTCTGACCTTGCGGATCCATCTCTTCTTTGTCTGATCAAGAAATTCAAGGAAATCAATCCAACTCAATCACAGAGTCCTGCTGCTGCAATCGGCGCTTGAATGCACGCTTCGGCTCAGCTGAAGAACTTGGCAGCTCACAATCAGCACTAGCTCTCAAAAGCTCCTGCAATTCAGCACTGCTAGCAAGAAGATCACGCTCGAAGTTAGGGCCTTCCTCCACAGGATGTAACGAAGCTTGTTGCAACTCCTCTGAAATGCAATTCTCAGCAACGTCCTCAGGTGCGAATGCCTCAAAAACTTCTCTCAAGTGTTGTTTCTTCAAGCACTTAGTCGCAAACCTCCAAACGCACTCAACTGTATGCAGCTCTTCAAGTCTCCGCTCAAAAGCAACTCTATAAGTTGATAAGATCTTATCCCAAGAAGAACCTGATCTGCCCTCGGGACGGGGCCGTTCACAAAGCTGCTCAACGTACAAGCTGTGCAACCTTTCCTTCACTTCCTCTACCGCAGCAAGAGACGCCGTGGCCTTGCTCTGTCTGAGCACGCAATGGCTCGTCCGGTCTGCGCCGGGATTGCGATCCTACCTAGATCCTAAACGGAAACAGAAATCCCCAAAGGTCCAGGACAAACTTTCCAACGCCTGAGCTCCCCGAACGCACTTCGCAACGCAATGTGCAAGAGAGCCCCGAGACGTGTCTCGAAGCTTGGGCTTTCCCAAGCTCCGCTACCATGAAAATGTTTTGAATCCTCTAAGACGCCTGCGGAGTATAACGCAATCTCAGTGTGAAACTCATGAGTGCATGAAATACGATAAAGCAAATCATGATAAAATGCATGGGGTATCCTAGGAGGCAAAATAATAAACACATACACAGCCCCATGGGATTGGCCCCTCCTTGGGCGGAGAGGAGCGCGCCAGAATCTGCACAGCTCCTTGACAGTCCACTGTCACGTCAAAATCACCGGCAGTCCTTGAGAAAAGCTCGTAAAGAGCCCGTTGCTCACCATGCGCGACAGACAAGGGCTCTTTGGGTAGGCATGTTACACTAGCCACACGCTCCGGGACTCCATCATGAAGACGGTAGGCCGCAATGGCCCACGAGACACATAAAGCTCTTGAATCTTTTGCTCCAGGACCCCCTGAGGCATCACTGGCAAAAACATACTGATCACCTGGCAGGGCCTGCTGTTGACACCACAGCCCCTCAACAAGAAAACCAGTATCAGCCCTATCGTACTTCAAGCGGGTGGCCTCACTGGGCACAAGCCCTCGAAGCCACAAACTCGGCCACTGGTAAAGCTCTCTGGCCTTGGCAAATTGGGGCGGCTCCGGAAATTTGGACTTGATGAAAGGACACTGCCAAAGCACATGATTCAAATCAAGAGCACAATTGCACAGCTTGCAAAAACCTGGCTTGGACTCACTGATCAAGGCCCCTTGCCATACTGTCTGCAAATGAACATGTGTTTTCTTATTAAAAAACCGACGCTTCATGAGCCGCCTGGGAACTTTAGCATCAATGCCATGCACCAGCTGAGAACAACCAGCTAACAAGGAAGTGCGGTTATTACGGGCGTGCTCCCAGATCGGGTAGAGCCACTGCCAAACCTTCCTACATGCATCAAGGCAATCCCAGTGGATATGCAGAGCATCAGAACCATGATGCCAAGAGGAAGGGTTGGGGGCTACAACACCTAAGTCAAGGAGGTAAGCCAAAGTGGCGGACAAGGGGCCCGTAACCCTCTTCCAAGGATGAGGAGCCTCGGTAAGTCTACGCCACAAGCAAACCCACGTACTACTAAACTTATCAGGGTCCGCAACCTGCCATCTGTAGAAAACACGGGCTATCGCACGAAAGTGTTGTCGCAAAATGGTAAGGTGAGGATCCTCACATTTGTGGCTCATGAGCTGAAAGGTGACGTCAAGGGAGCCCAACTTTTGCCTTCCAATGGCCTTGGCACAGAGGGTCCTGTACCACTTACGGCTTGGGACTTACACCGATTGCTTGATGACCCCATAGGCCCGCTGCACACAGTGAAGCACGGATGATGCGGATCTTGTGCGAGGGGTTGGTGAGGCCAAGCTTGTTGAGCTTAACCGCTCTGCCACGAGCTTTACTTCTACGCTGTTCTGCTAAACCCAACAACCTCCTTCTAGCACCCCCGGAAGTGATCCCCAAATCCCTCGCAAAATTTTTCACCTGTGGATCCGACTCCTCTCTGATTTCAAGTAAACACTTGGCCGCCTGGGGTGAGGAAGCAACAAAGGAGGTCTTTTCCAAGGAAAGTGTAGCACCTCGGGCTTCAAGGTCTTTGCGCAAACTACGGAAAAGCAAAATCGCATCTGTGGCAACCTGCTTGGCGGAAGCATGTACTGCATCCAGTGACATGTCGTCAATCCACACATCAAGGTTGACAGCAGCCCTCTTAGCCTGAACTCTAGCCGCACCGGGTGAACAACAAGCTTGCTGATGGAAGGAGCCGCCGGGCACCCAGCCAACACCCCCCTACCGGGGGTGATGGCCGGGCAAACGGAGCCCTCTGACTGTAGAAAGCGCGGGCCCATGTAAGTGAGCAATGCTTGGTGTAGGATCAAGGGAGGATAGCCGAGCGAAATGCCAGATGAAATGACATCGTTGAACCTGCAACGATCGTAGAACGTCTCCATGTCCATGAAGATAGTTATGAGGTGTTGCCCAGATTGTCTGGAGGCCTCCCCCCTGAGCAGCCTCGAAAGCGCAACGTCTAAAACCTGACTGCCCGGCATGGCCTTATCCCACACCGCTTCTCTGGAGTATTGGCCTTGCCAGTCGGCCACCAGCTTCCATCTCAATCGCACCCAAGCACGATAAAGAACATGCAAAAGTGCTATGGGTCTTTCGCGTTTGTCACTTTTCGGAAGTAACGCAATCAGGGCAAAAACCATTTGGTCAGGCCAACTGGCCTCAAGCTCGCAATGATGGAGGAAAGCCACAATAGCTTCAACAGCAGGACGCTGCAGGTTTTGCAAAATCTCGCATGTCCATCCATCCAGGCCCGGTGCTTTGGTGGGGACCTTTTTGAAAGCCGCGACTGCCTGCTCAATAGGAATTGGCCCAAGTTCACGCGCCTGCAACATAGCACGATGCTTAAGCTCATTGAAAAGTGCCTGGTCAACACCTTTGGGGTCTGACCACAATTCGAACCACTGCCTCCACCGGAAATAAATGCGATCCTGGACTGGTTGTGTCAAGAAGGGCCTGAGATGAACAGCTTCCTCAGACTTAACACTGCGAAACAAACCCCTCAAGCCTTTCAGCGAAGCCTGCTTCAACCACTTAAAGTAACCTGCGCTCTGCTGTTGCATCCAAGCCTTAGAGTGCAAGCGAAACTGTTGACTGGCAGCCTCTGAAAGAAAAGCGAAAACATCCGGAGCAGTATCTCGGCCAAACTTTTTAAATTGGGCTTGCACTTCAGCTAGCTGCTCCTTCTGGCCTTGCCACATAGAGCACAGCTGCAACTGCAGCTTGGAGCACAAGGGAAGCTTACACTTATGCTGTTTGGAACACTCAAGCCAGGCTAAAATCCGCTTCCAAAATGCAGCCTGCGCTCCACCCCACACCCCTGCTGGGGCCGAATGGCACAACATTGTGGCTCTTTGAATTTTTGGCAAGGCCCCCCTACCTTGGGCAACTCCGAAGACCGAAAGCTCAACAGAACCACTGAGTGCCTCAAACTGCTGAGTGAGGGCCGGCTGCCCAAGAGAACCACCCCAATGGCGGCCGAGTTCACATTCCCACATGGGTTGACTAAGGTCACAACCTGCAGCTGCTGGCGGCACAAAAGGTTGGGGCTTCAGAGGGAGAGGCTTAAAACCAACAAGCTGCGGGATTTTGGCATCACAGTGTTGCCTGTTGATAGTCCAGTGCAAGGCAGCATGCGGCGCAAAGGGTGTAACCCAATCAACCTGAAGCTGAGCCCCCAAGACCAAGCCCCTGGACAAAATGCCATAGTCAATGTTTCCACCTCCAGTGCAAGTGGAGGCCCCAGAGTGGAGCCACGTGCCCCGAACCTCCTGATCAATGTTTGTTGTGCCAATGACACTGAAATCCTCATTGAAATCCCCAGCCACAAAAAATCTCACAGACCTGAGAAAGGAGATCAAGTGGGATAAGACTTTGGCATTGGCCTGGCTGCGAAAGCCTTCACCGGACTTCAAGTACACATTGACAAGAAAAAGATCAACATCCCTGATGCGCAACACCACAGCCTGGAACCCTACCCCGTGGTGAAGGAAATGGTGGGCTTTACGCACGTCAAGGTGTTTTTTGAAAACAACCGCCAATCCACCTGAGTTGCCTCCACCTCCAGTTGGATGCCCTGGCAGGCTGAAAGCCTTATATCCAAAGGGCCCGACATGTGTGGAAATCAAGTCACCTTGCTCCTTTGTAATGTGCGTCTCCTGCACCAAGCAAAGATCCGGTCTATGGCGGTCAAGCCACGGACACAGATCCTTGCGCCATCGGGTAACGTTAGCAGAAATGAAGGTCAGCTTACGCCCGCAGGGGGCGGCATCTAAATTGGCAATGACGTCTGCAACAGCTGACCCGGCAACATGCCACGGAACCTCATCACCAGCCTCAACAGCAAGCTCTGCCGCACGCCATGCAAAAGTGTCTTCAACGATGTGGCGCCCCGACTCTAAGGCCTCAACAGCCTCAAGTACCTCCGAATGACACTTGTGCTCCAAACCCTTCCACAGACAGGACCAACTGGCAAATGCAGCTTCCAACGCCACACGCCCATTTTCGATTTCCTGCCAAAGTGAAGTCTTGGTGGGCCGGGCTGGGCAATCAGGTGAGGCATGCGGGTCCTGGCACGGGTTTACGGCAGGAGTGTGAGCAGCAGGCTCTCCACTCGGCAACACCTTGGATCGCCCCGACGCAACCCCCCATTCTCGAGCCGAGAATGGGGGGTTGCCAAATCCTGATTCTTGGCTTTTTGCCCAAGTGCTGCCAGCAAGGCGCACATCGGTGGTAGCCGCGACCTCCTCAACCGGGTTCTTGGGGGCTCCCCGTAGGGGCTCTATTGGTTCAAGTCGGAGCCTACGGTTGTACCGGCGCCGGGTCCGGCGCGAAGCTGGAATTTTGCCCTGCAATATATTACAGGAAACAGGCCCAACATGTGTTTGCAAAACCTGAACATGTAGCGGCATACTGGTGACATCAGCAAGTTCATCGGGCTCCGGGGCCTCAGCGCAATCAAAAAAGTATGTAGGACCCGACAAGGCCACCGGATCCTTGGGCTGCTTGCAAGTTGTTTGGACCTTGGCCTCCCACTTGCATAAGCACCTCGGGCAGTAGTTCAAGACATCAGACAGGGCAGTGAGGGCTTCGTCACAAGGCGCATTCAAGTGAACGTGGCAGCATGCCTGCACAAATTTTTTAACCTCCTGGTTCGTACTACGCCCTAAGACCTGGGATTGGCCACATCCAATGCACCAACCATCAGCCTCAAGACCTCTGAGTTGCTCCTGCAGGGCCTCGCTGGTCAAATTGGGGTTAGGGGCCTCAGGCCAGGGAGATGCACACGGGTTAGGGAGTGCAAATGAAATTTCATCGACATCTGGACCTTTGCTTACTGCCTCCGGCTGCACACCTGAAGGAAGTTGCGCCTCCTCACGAAGGGCACTCTGTGTTGTTGTAGTGCGCACTGACAAGTTGGGGTTAAGGTCCTCAGGAACGGAGGCAGCACACAGGTTAGGGAGTGCAACTGATGGCTCACCAGGGCTCCCAGACCTACTGTCCAAAATCTCTTGTTGCACGGATCTAAGGCCCGAGGCGTCCAGTCCGTGCAATCGGGGTCTAGGGTCCTTGAAAAGAGAGGGAGCACACGGAGTCAGGCTCCGGAGTGATGGAGCCGACAGCCTCGTGTGCATGGCAAGGTCCTGTATGCCCGAGGCTCCACACAGCTGCAAGAAATTGGGGTTAGGGCCCTCAAAGGGAGGGTAAAGGCACAGGTTCGGGACCTGAAATGCAAAAGCCTCGCCGGTGCCAAGCCGCAAAACTCCAGTCACCGGGGCCCTGACACCCTCACTAGCGAGAGGGCCTGAAAAGGGCTTACTCAAGCAACTGGCAGCTGAAAACACTCTATGCACAGGCTCTCCTGACACATAAGGGTCCAGCAGCACAAATCGCATCGCAACCTCAGGCAGGCCCTCGCCACCGCTGCAACAAAGACACATGGGCTGCCAATGAGGGCGCATCCAGGGAAAGGGCCCAAGAAAAGGGGCGATACAGCATGCACACAGCACTTGACAAAGATTCCGATGCTCAAGCCGGCTTTGGTCATTGAGACCCGGAAATCGAAACCTTCGTGAAGGCAGCAACTCAACCTGCTTTATCCCATCACCCCTACCCTGCAACCCTCGTGCCAATTTGTGCACTCTGGAGTGTCCCACCGGCGGCTGGCCGAAAGACGCAGCTGACACAGCCTGCGCACAAATTGTGCAAAATGGATGAAAATTGGTCCACGTCTGACAACTCACACTTCGTGAGACTACAAGCGGCACTGCACAGAGCGCACAGGACCCGTCAGGCACAGCCACGTCCCTAACGGACTGGTCCGAAGAAGCAGCTGCACTGCAAAATGGATGTGATGCATGTTGTGGTGCAGATGTCGAAGGCCTTGCGCACTTGCCTAGGAAATCATCCCGCACCTCATTCAACGTGAAAGGCCACCTAGGCCCAACTTGGTGCCCGGGAGACACAGGGGCTCCTGTCAACGACGAATTGGGGTTAGGGCCTTCCACAAGGAAGGAGGCACACGGGTTAAGGAACGGAAATGAAATTTGCTTCCAAAGCCGGCACTCCCTCAGCCTAGCGTGGCTCCGGGCCTGAGCCGCCAAAGGTTGAGCAGGCCAGGAGCTCAAGTGCAAGGCACTGTCGGCAACGACATGGAAAACCTTGTGCACAGGTTCACCTGAAAACACGTAGGGATCAAGCAATGCGACCTGGGAAACCTCTGCAGATGACTGGAATTCGCAGCTGCACAGTCGACAGAGAGGCTGAAGAAAGGGGCTGGGGTTGGGCGAGGGAGTGACCAACGGCGCCAGACAAACAGAGCACTGCAAGGCTTCCGTCAAAGGCAAAAACCCCTCATCCTGAAGCCCAAAATCCCAGCCCTGGAACCCGCTGACCCAACGGCTCACACTTGAGGGCTCCACATGCGCCACTCCAGCACAGCTGGCAGCAGAAGTAGCCTGGGCACACAAGGCGCAAAACTCGTCCTGCTTGCCCATAGCACTAGAACTCACCGTTCGTGAGAAAGCTAGAGGCGATGCACAACTCAAGCAGGTACAGGTATTTATGTGCCACACTTCGCCCCCAACAGATTGGTCCTGAACGGGAGCTGCACTGCAGTGGGGGAGGGCCACTGAAGAAGGCACTTGATCAAAGGAATTTTTAAAAACCCTGGCACCCCGAAAGTCAAGTTGCAAGTCACAAAACCCTTCTGGCTGACCCGGGGCGCCTGCGAACTGCTCAGAATGCAGGCTGGCAGGAAAATAAGGTAAGACTTGGGATAGCGGAGTAGCGGTTGAGGCCTGAACTTTCGGATGCACCAGATCATCTGTTTGCACAAAACAAGAACGGCTTCTACCACTGACCAAGGAAACAGCCGAAGGCTCACACCCAATCACTACTCCTAACCCCAATCCCTAACCCTGAGTTCTGCCCCGACTGCGCGAGCGAGGCTTCTCATCACGATTGCCTTCCTGCCTTCCGGCAGCATCGCCTTGCTCTGGGGGCTCAGAGCCCTGCTGTGGGGTCACCTGGGCTGGCTTCGGGGCGCCAGGTTGTTCCTGCGGCGCCTCCTCCTTCGCCTCTTCAACTTCCATGGCATTGCAGTCAAGAAGGGCCTGTTGCTCACTACTCAAGTTGATGCCACACTGCTGAAGCGCTCGCAGGACGGCCTCTTTGCATGGCAGGGCTGACGGCTCAGGAGCAGACTGGACCCTGGATTCAAGGTCCTTTTGCAAGGCCGCCACTTCATTCTGTTTGTCCGTAAGCTCCTCCTGAACACTTTTCATCTGATCTAAGAGATCCGCATACGCAGACTTGGCGCGGTCTATCTTAACCTGTAGGCCCGCAAAAAAAAAAATGGGATTTTCTCTCCGAGCGTCGCAAAAATCCACGCGGCTCCTAGGCCTAACAGTACAAGAAAGCAACTAGCAGAGCTAAGGATCTGACAGCCTAGCTACGGAAGCAAAACTCTACTGCCCACAGGCCATAGAGTCTTGCTGTTGCACGCGAGAGCTAGCTGGACCACAAAGCAGGTGGGTGGGAGCCGACAAATTCAACGGGCATGCACGGCAAGCCACCTTGCAATTTCAATCTTTACAAGGACGTCTGCACCAGTGTGACAAGTGACTGGTGTGCCTGAGGTCAAGGAGCCCTGCATACGAGCAGAGCTGTGCAGCTTGAGGACCTGGTGTTGCCAGCATGGCAACTTCTGTAAGAGAGTTCGCCGAAAACCAGCAGCAGCAGCCTTTGTACACTTTCTACACCTAACAAACTACCGCCGACTGTACACAGCGCCAACAAGTGATCGCATGAACACGCCAAGTGCCCACGCCATCACTTGTGAGTTTCCAGCGTATTTTTCGACAAGTTTCGAACCAGAAAACCAGAACCATGCCCAGCACAGGTAGCAGCTGAAGGCATTCAGGGTGGCTTTGGGTAAAAGTGCACATATTCATCAAACCACCAGGTGTTACCCGATTGCTGCTCACCAGGGGAGCGCATGCAAGGACAGTGCCAGCACAGGCAGCAGCTGCAGCAGCCAAGGCCACATACACGTGACCACGTAACAAGAGTTACACTTACACCTAATTCTATTGCAAACCAAGCGTCGAGCAGGCTCAAGTGGAAGGCAGCGCTAATGCAGCCAGCAAGGCGCAAAAGCAGCACATCTCAACCACGGTGCTTACGTAAAGGACAACTTGGCTTGTTTTGGCGTAGGTTTGGACTTGCCTGAGCTTTTGGGCTTCGCCACCATGGAAGGTTGCCCAAAAGCCAAGAGGGACTGCTTGGGCCCCGCCTCTGGTGCTGTAGACTCGTCACGTTTGGTGCCGAAAGGGACTGCTGCTTTAGTTTTGGGAACAGCAGGACCTGCTTGGCCCAAAGTGGTGTTACCCGAGCCTTGTGCCACCTTGCCCAGTTGGCTGACAGCTGCACGGCCGTCACAAGGTTTTTGCAGCTGCTTAGCTCCAACACCTGAGTGTGGCCGCTGCAGCCTGCCACATTTAGAACATGACCATTGCACACCCATGTTGACCATGGTATGTGATTCGTGAATGCCCCATTCTTTCAAGATCTCACCCCCACCAATGCAATGATGGGACATGAGGCGATTGAAACTGGCCTGTTCAGCAATCTGTTGCACGTACAAGCCGCATTTTCCACATTTCATCGTTAAGTTGGTTGGGCCTTCAGCGCCTTTGATCCACTGGTGACCCAAGGGATCCTCAGGCATTGCAAGTTTTTCCAACATGCGCTGTTTTTTGTTTAAGGGCTTGACAACACTAGAGCTAGGACAAGGGTTCTCAGCAGCCGGAACATCATGAGCTCGCAGAGCTCTGGACTTCGGCGCCTTAGTGGGTTTGGGTTTAGAAAAGGCGGCACTAGGGACAACCATGGGCCTAGGGACACCCTCAGGGACAACCTCACTAGTTTCCTTATTGCAGCGTTGCAAAATCCACGGAAAGTCATTGTCTTTTTTATGCAGAAGAACATGACCAATCTTACGGGCTAAATGCAAGCACACATCCTCGCAAACTTGATCAATCTCTGTGAGCCTAGGTCTGCTTGAAGCCCGGAACGCCTGTGCAGCACGTTTGCCACAAAGGTCGTCAACGTCGGCATTGATCAAGCGCCTCCATTCCGGAATGTCACGTTCAGCAAAGTAGGCTGCAGTTTTGTGACTGGAGACCCAGTGTACCTTTGCCCGCTCTCGACAGTGCCAGACAGACCCCCAGAAAACCTGTCCACAAAGAGGCGGGGCAGCCTTGCTGAGTATGTGCGTGATTGCCTTACAGTCTATCGTTATGTCAAAGTCATTCTCAACACGAGAGAACAATTCGAAAACCGCCTGCTGCTCAGCCGACGCAACTGTTAAAGGTTGTTCGGGAAAACACGTGACACTGGCAACCCTTATGGGAACACCTTCAACTAGTTTGTACGCTGCAATGGCCCAGGCTACACAGCTGGACCTTGGATCTTTGGCCCCTGGGCCACCAGATGCATCACTGGCATACACAAGATTGCCATCAGAAATGACACTGTGGGGGCCAGTCCACAGGCCCTCGTAAACAAAGCCAGTGGCCACACCGCGCGTGTCAAGTTGTGTGGCAGCCTTGGGGACTAAACCTCTTAACCACAAACTAGGCCAGGGAAAGAGTTCACGCTTTTTGGCGAGGTGCGGTGGCTCTGGAAACTTCTGGGAAGTGAAGGGACAGTCCCACAGAACGTGCTGCAAAGAAAGAGAGCACTTACACAACCTGCACCATCCCGGCTTGGAAGAGCCAACCAGAGCACCTTGCCAGAGGGCTTGCAAATTAACACGAGTGGACTTGTGAAAAAACCGACGTTTGAGAAGGCGCAATGGAACAGTGCGGTCAATGCCCGATGCAAGGTCATGGCAACCCTCCAGTGTTGCAATCCGCTTCAAACGCTCGCCTTCCCAAATTGGCAAAAGCCAGTGCCACACACACCGTGTAGCATCTGGGCATGTCCAGTCAACATGCAAAGTGCCTGACACATGAGTCCAAGTGGAACCCTGTTGGCATTGGACACCAAGTTCCATCAAGTAGGCCTGAAGGGCCGCAATGGGCCCATTGACCTTTTTCCAAGGGTGTGGAGAGGCTGAAAGCCAAAGCCAGATACTGGACCACGTACTGGAAAACTTGGCTGCATCCACACTTTGCCATCTACGAAATACCCTGGCAACAGCCCTTACGTGCTGGCGCAGCAAAGTTAGATGAGGGTCTTCACATTTATGGCAATGCAACAAGAAAGTGATATCAATGGAACCCAACTTCTGACGACCAATTTGCTTGGCACACAGGGTTCGATACCATTTGCGTCTTTTGGGGCTCACACCAGCAGCCTGATGTCCCCATAACCCGGCGGAACAAATTGACGCCCGGACAATGCGAACTCTGTGGGATACGCACTTAACACCAAGTTTGTTGAGCTTGTTTGAACGCTGCATTGCCTTGCGACGCCTCTGCTCAGCCAGACCGAGCAACCTACGGCGAGCGCCAGCAGAAGAGACCCCTAAGTCCCGCGCCATGGTTTTAACCTTGGGATCGTCGTCTGAAAGCAATCGATTCAAGGCTTTGGCCGCCTCCGCCGAAGACGCGACAAAAGAAGTTTTTGTTACAGAAACCTGGGCCCCTTTTGCGACAAAATCTTGCCTCAACCCCCGAAACAGTACAAGACTGTCACTGGCGACCTTTGAAGCGGATTTGTTAATCGTGTCCAGGGAAAGGTCATCGACCCAAACATCTAAGTTACAAACGCTATGCTTCATCACAAGTTTAGCAGCGATTGGATGAATAACGAGTTTGGTAATCGATGGTGCTGCTGGGCACCCAGCAAGCACACCTCGCCCTGGCCATATAGGCGGGCAAACGGCACCTTCCGACTGCACAACACGGGGACCAAGATAAGTCAAAAGTGCTTGGTGCAAAATGATGGGCGGATACGACAGTCGGATTCCGGAACTTATGATGTCATCAAAGAGACACCTGTCGTAGAATGTCTCCATATCAACAAATAAGGAAATAAGGTGCAGCTTGTCGCGGCGAACCGACTCTCCTAGCATTAATCTTGAAAGTGCAACATCAAGAACTTGCCCACCTGGAACCGCTTGATCCCAACTTGCTTTGTGGGTGTATGCGCGCTGCCAATCATCAACTAAGTGCCATCGCAATCTGACCCATGCCCGGTACAACACATGAAGGAGAGCAATTGGCCTTTCACGCTTCTCATTTTTTGGCAAAAGGGCAATCAAAGCGTAAACCAATTGGTCAGGCCAAGACGCCTGACGCTCGCAGTGGTGGTAAAATTGGATAATGGCTTTCACAGCTTCAGCATCAAGATTACGGAGGACCTCACAAGTCCATCCATCTAGACCTGGAGCTTTTATTGGAACCTTCCTGAAATACTTAATGGCCTTATCAAGCGAAATTGGTGGAAGGTGTGCAGCCTGCTCTATTGCTTTGGTTCGGAGCTCAGCACGAAGTTCAGGGTTCACGCCCGGTGGGTAGAACCAAAGTTCGTGCCATTGTCTCCACCTAAGATATATGCGCTCCTGCACCGGGGCATCTAAAAACGGCCTGATGGTGACAGCTTCCTCAGCTTTGATGCTCAAGAATAGAGGTCGCATACCTTTCACAGTAGACCGCCGCAACCACTGCAGGTAGGAAGCACTCTTGGAAGCCTGCCATGCACTGGAGTGAAAATGGTGTTGAGCCTTGGCACTCTCAAGCAATGGCGGAACACGGTCAACAAGGGAACAGTCAATGAGAGCCTGCAAATCCTGGGCAAACTTCTCACATGAGTCAAGGTCTCCATGCCACATCAACCGTAGATTCTTTGCAGCTGTTTTTGCAAAGCTGCTAACATGAACCTTCCGAAGGCAAGCATCAAACCAAACAATCATTCGGTGCCAAAAGGAAACCTGCGAGCCTCCCCATCCTGAACATGGAGCACAAGTGGGAATTAATGGCCGCCTGTGAACACTGACTTGGGCTCCCCTACCTTGGCAAACCCCATAAACAGAACGCTCAACGTCCTCACTCAGACTGGCAAATAACTCGGTGAGGCCTTTGCGAAGGCTGCCCAAACCCAGCATCCTGGGATGCTGGGAAGATGAAGCCTCCGCCTCAGCCTCTCCTGCCTCATCAATGGGCCTAGTCAAGACGAAGGGCTGGGATTGCAACGGCGATGGCCGAAAAGGCACAAGCTGAGGCACCTTGAAGTCTAGTTGATGCATGCCCAATGTCCAATGGAGGGCCGCATGCGGTGCAAAGGGTGTGCACCAATCAAGGGAGAGGCTAGCTGCAGCTGCAACAGAAGAGGACATAAGCCCGTAATCAATATTACCACCACCGGTACATGTGGAATCCCCTGCATCAACAAACCGGCCCTTAGCTTCCCGACCCAAGCTGGTCGCAGCAACGGTTTCGAAATCCTCATTCCAGTCCCCCGAAACAAAATATATACCCTTAATCGAGCGAAGAAAAGGGATCAACTTAGAAAGGACCAAAGAATTAGTCTGGCTCTGCAAACCCTCACCCGACTTCAAGTAAATGTTGATAACATATAAGTCGGTGTCCCTAAGCCTAAGCGCGGCAGCCTGAAACCCCACTCCATCATGGAGAAAATGATGGACCTTCCTGAGATTGAGGTGCTTGCGGAAGCATATGGACAGGCCGCCACTGACGCCGCCCTTAGCAGTTCGACGGCCCGGCAAACTGAACGCCGCGTACCCAAACGGGCCCAGCTGTGAATCAAGCAGATCAGGCAAATCTGGACTCAAGTGAGTTTCCTGGAGAAGGCACAGGGAAGGTTGGTGTTGTGCAATCCAGGGGCACAGGGCTTTGCGCCATGATGTCACATTCGCGCTAAGAATCTTGAGTTCGGGCCTCTGGGATTGGCATGAAAGATTGGCTAAGGCATCTTCCAAAGCCCAACATGCAACATGCTTTGGCACATCCTCCTGAGTCTCAACAGCAAGCTCAACAGCCTTCCACATGAAAGTACCCTCACTGATGATGCCCTGACTTTCCATGCTTTCAACCTTTGAGAGCAAAGGGCCTGAAGCTCCAGCAAGCACATCAGCCTTCAGAGCCTCCAAAGCCGCAGACTGCTGTGAAATCAAATTGGGGTTAGGGACGGCCAGGGTTTCCTCAGCGACTCGCCCGACCTGTTGACACGGGTTGGGGTTAGGAATTGGAAATACCTCATTCTGCCCCTCGTTCTGCCGCCGCGCAACTGAAGCAATATGTTTGACAGACACATCATCCGGAGCGGCTAAACCCGAAATTTCCCCTTCACTGGCAACTGCTGGAACTGCTGAAACTCCTGCAGACCCTTCTTTATGTGAAAATGCATTTTCTCCTAAAGATGGGTATGCGGACGGCGCAAAAAGCACCTGGTCATCCTGAGTGCAGCCTGCAGGGCGCACAGCAGCGCTTGGATGGGACATCGCATACCTTTGGTCACCAGCCTCAGGGCATGCTGGAACCGGATGATCATGAAAGTTAGAATTCTCAGACAACGAAATGTATTGCTCCCGCCAGGGTCCTCGGCCAGCGGCCACACCTCCTCCTGAGGGCCAATCCTCCGCGTGTGTGATATACCCACCTCCTGGACCCTGGAGGGAAACTCTATTAAGGGAAGCAATCCCAAAAGTCCGACCCCCAGGACCCTCGCCCAGCGGGCACACCACCTCCTGAAAGAAACCACCACCACTACAGTAACGACCACCCTCCTCCTGGGCCCTGGGGGCCCTCATGGCATCAAGATTGGCTGCCGCGCAACCCAAAAGATGCTGGTCCTGGTCAGGACGCCCGCGCAATTCACCAGCGATGCCGCAATGCCCAGGAGTAGCATCCCAGCAATCAAAATTGGGGCTAGGGTCCCAAGACTGGGAAGCACACGGGGTAGGGAACGGTACTGAAAGATCATGGCCAGCCTGCGACCTGGAGCTATCAACGTCAACCACTTCTGCATGGACTGACGCCGCTGCACAAGGTTCAAGCACATCACCACCGTGATAAATCGGATCTGATAAGGGCCCTGAACCCTCAAGAACGTGTCGCAATCGGCGGTTGAGGCGCCTGCGGGCCCGTCTGGATACAGGGGTTTTCCGATTCGTGGAAGGCCCATACGAGAATGCTCTGATACATGTAGGCCACACTATTGCGAGCTTCTGCGAACCAGACACCTCTCCCTGTTCATCACACTCCTGAGCAGCACTGGCTGGAAAGAAACGTGGTCCTGACAAGCAATCGGATATGTGAGGCAGGCCCTCGGTGCTGGTGGAGCGGTCCGCCCAGCGACACAAACACCCTGGGCAGTAACAGAGTACATCACTGACAGCCGTGGCAAGGTCCTCACATGAACGGTGTAACATGACCTTGCTGCTGGCTGAAAGAAAACTCCTAATCCAAGGAAAATCCTGCTGACCAAGCACTGCATTCTGGCCACAACTCAAACAAGGAGGCAACCCTTGCACAAGCTCTTCAAGCTCCGATGCATCTCCACTCGCAAAGGGCAAATTGGGGTTAGGGAAAACTCCCGAAGGCGCACACGGGTTCGGGCTAGAAATGGGCCTGGTCTCAAGGGTGCCTTCATGCCTCCGGGCGGAAGCACAAACACTCCAGCACAGTGGCAAAGTGGACGGCCTGTGGCGGAAGACCCTGGCCGGCACTCTGTAATCAAGGATCCTGGGCACAGGTTGGCCTGAAAGCGCACAAGATTCAAGAAAAAAGCCACGGCGATAATGAAAACTCTCACTCTGACTCGGCATGCAGTGCTGGCACAAAGCTGACTCGGGAGGCCTAGGGGCAAAGGGGGGCACTGACAGAGGCGTATGGCAGCATGCACAACACCAGTCCTGACATGCAAGCTGCATCGCCCCTTCTTTCAAGCCCGAAATTTGAACCGAAGACCTAGCAACCCAACCTTGCGCCAACGGAGGCTCTGCCGAGAATGAGTGCGCGGCAAAATGAGGAGCAGCACAGCTTCTAGCCGACGCCACCTGACAGCAAGGAAAACACAGTCCTGTGGTGCTAACTCCAGCGTGGAAACTCACACTACGTGAGGACGCCAGGGGCGCAGCACAGAGCAAACATGATGTATCGACAGCGATCTGCTGATGTTGCAAAATCTGAGGCTCGGCGCAGGTCTGGGACAGGAGTGCTAAAGCAGGGGCTTCAACAAGCGAACAGCAACCCAAGGAATCAGAAACCTTTCTCCAGGAAGAGAACCAAGGGACCCCTAAAACACCCACAGAACCCAGACCCTCACCCTTTTCCTACAGATCCTCCTTCTCGCCATCTGCATCCTGTGCCTTCCGCGGCGACCTCGAACGGGCGTCGCGCTGGCCATTCGGCAGCTCAGGCTTCTTGGCTGACTCTGTCGCGCGTGGTGCCTCCGCCTTCAGATTTGGAGCCTGGCTGTCAGGAGCTGTCTGTGTGCCGGCACGCACCTGTGCAATCTGAGCCTGTTGCTCCGCAGTCAAGGAAATCCCAAACTTATCAAGAAACTGCGAAATTTCACTGTTCCAAGATTCGCTTTGGGCCAGAACTTTGGTATTGAGCTCCTTGCCCGCATCAGCAACCTGTTGCTGCGCCTCATCGATTTTCTCCTGCAGCTGCTTCATGTCAGTCAATCTTGCATGGTACTGCTCCTTAGCATGGTCGATACGCTTTTGCAGGCTGATTTTCTTGTCACCGAGCAGCTTCAAAGCAACAGTAGCCTTACGAAAGGCTGCATTGGCCGCTGTTCCAACCTCATAGGAGGTAGGTGCTGGAGTTTGCTCCGGCGGCTTGAGGCCGGCCTTGAGCGTGAGCTCTTTCTGCTGCTCCGTGGCTTCAGACCACAGCTTCTGCTTAGCCTCGCAGGCCTCAGATGCCTCCATGTCAACATCAAAAACGCCGAGACCCGGAGGCGGAACAAGCGCTGCCGCGGAGCGGATGGAGGCCTCCACCCGGCTTCTTCGATCGCCAGTCGGGCTTCGGGAGTCAACTTCTCCCACACTGTGTGCAAAGCGAGTGCCGCCTTGCCGGGCTTTCTCTCCTTGCTCTGCCTGGGCGGCCTAAATGAGGTCTCAGACGCCTCATCACCGCTCTGTACAAACCTAACCTTAGGCTTTGCCTGTCGAGGCCACGTTGCACCACAAACTGCACAACACGGGTGGGTTGAAATGCGATCAGCATACAGCCAGCTCTCTTTGCACTTCCTGCACACGACATACGGCCGGAAGCGCGACATGTCCGCACTGACTTGCACCAGTCCTTGTGTGTCTGCTGCCTTTCAAGAAAATGTACCACAAGAAAAGCTGGCAACAAAGGGCGTTTTTGCACGCAAGGCCCTCAAAATTTTACTTTGTCCAAGAAATTCAAGCAATCTGTGCAAGCAAGATGTTTCAAGGTTGCAAGTTGCGGTGGTGTTCAAGAAAAGTGGCGCACAGAGCGCCTGACAGTCTACGGCTCCCTCCCAGCCCTTGCCGGCTAATCCGGCCTACGACCTCTTCGAGGTTATGTTTTGGGTTCTGTTTGAGAGCTCTAGAATGCAGGCCTCAAGGCTGGCCACGTCGGCACCTCAAGTTTGAGCACTTGAGCCAAAATGGCTTGAGCCAAAATGGGATTTTCATTCCGGTGGCGCGAGAAGTCCACGGCCAGAGGCCTGTCCGAAGAAACCCTGAAGCATGCATTAATTAAAACTGGCTGTAGCAAAGCCAGGGCTAAGCGAGTACGCCTTGAAGGCTCCAGTACAACCAGTAGCCTCAAAGCCCTATTCAAAATCGGAAGACTATACAGGAAGGTGTCTGGCTCAAGTAACCTCAGGCCCCATTGGGCGAGGTAGCGGTTGAGCGACCTTCATAACTAACTCACTTAGCTCAGTTGGCGGCCAAGAAGAAAAGGAGACCGTGCAGCTGCAAACCAAAGTAGCTGCAAAACAGGTGTGTCAAGCAGGTTTACACTGTTGCAGTGCAAACAGAGGGATGGGCAGCAGGGTACACACCTGCACACACTGCACACTCTTGCACGGAAGGCCCCCCCCCCCCTGTTGACTACACGTACCCTGTACTGGCCCTGCACAAGCTTCAAGAGTACGAGCCTCAGCCCAGCTGGCGAGGCGTGGTCAGAAAACGGGGCTCCTGGGCACCGCAAGCCTCAGCCCAGCTGGCGAGGCGTGGTCCTGTACGAAACAGCGAAGCGGCAAAAGCTTTCGTGTTCCTGCTGTCAGATCTCCTGCTCCTTAAAGACACACCTGAAGAGATTGATCACCTGCCAACTAGCTCTCAAAGCAAAGGCTCAAAGCAAAGGCTGGACACTCGGGCTGACCGGACCGAGGATCCTGCAGAAAACGCTCCTGGGCACCGCAAGCCTGCCAGAGCACGGAGAAGCGGAAGCAGGCAGGCTACGAAGCAAAGGCGATGCTGAAGTACAGTGCTTGAAAACCATTTTGCAGAGCAACAAGGCTGTCACGGCCTGCTGCGGGACCTTTGGTCCAGGTCAGTGCCCAGGCTGAGCTGCACCCTTCCACAGCCTCGGGCCCTCAGCCCTAAGGCGAGGGCCCAGGAGGCAGTGAAAAGCAAAAGTTCAGGCGGCCTTCCACTCGACGGCCAGGGCAGCTTGACTCACCTAGTAGGCTAGTCACCAAGGAAAACTCCCTGCTGTAGCAGGCACCACTTGTAGTGCTGCGTAAGGAGTGGTCGTAGCCGTTGCAGCACCTCCTCAGGCGAGGCGTTGCTGACAAGCTGGAGTAGCTCCTGAAAGTGGTCTGGAACACTCCTCTTGACCGCGCTCCAGAAAGCCGAAGCACGCTGTCTGTTCGGCCAGTGTGCCCTTTGACCCTCCCATGGAAGCCAGTCTGCGGTGTCCCACATCATAATGAAGCCACGGGCATCAACACCAAAGTTGAAAAAGCCAAGATCCTTGAGATTGTAGAAACGGGAGGCCTCCGCAGTCAGTGCCATCATGTAGCGGACCATATCAAGGTCCGGCGGAGCTGGCCTCCACACCGAAAGTGGAGTGAGCCTAGACTGCCTCAAAACATGCGTGGAGATGATATCATAGCAGCTCTTCCAAGAAAGCGTGAGCAGGTGAATACCCGCATCCAAAGTGCACGGCACTATATGAGGGAGCCGTCTCCAAGCTTCCGGTTCTGGCCCGTGGCCTTGTGGGGGCGCCAACTTCAGAACGTGTTCCGAGGAGCCAGGGTCAACGTAAACTGTCCGGGACTTTCCGAAACCCAGCCGTCTCGCTCGAGCAGCTTTTGTTCGCCCACCAGTGACAAAGTCATGGTAAACTTCAAGGCTTTCCGGAAGGCACTGGTAGTGGTTCACCGGATGCTTCACCTGGGGCGCAGCTGCACATAAGAAAGTGATTAGGCCATCCTCATGAAGAAGAGGGCCAAAGTCACTTGGGCGATCTTTCAGCGCGACTGCAGGCTGTGGTGTCTCACTGCTGTCAGATTGAAGACAGTTGCTGGAGTCGTCCTGGTCCACCGGTGGCTCTTCAGCTTCTGGAAGTCGTTGCAAAGGTAAGCCTTGGCTGCTGGATGCAGCAGCAGTAGGGGGTGGAGCCCTCAGCCCTAAAGGCGAGGGCTCCTCCCGTGCTGGGCCCTGGCTGCTGGAAGCAGCCGCAGTGGAGGGAGCCCTCAGCCCTGAAGGCGAGGGCTCCTCCAAGTCGTACGGCAGCTCTTCAGCTTCACGATGTCTCGCCTCCGCACGAGGTCCTGGTGGAGGTGGTGGGGGCGGCCAAGCCTCCTCAGTTCTCCTGCCAGCGTGCTCATATTGTTCGCGGCGCTTCTTCTGTTTGCGGGCTTTCTTACGGCCCCGCTGTCGGTCTATCGTCGCCGCTGATTTCCATGATAATCCCCGCTCCTCACGGCGGAGTTGCGTGGATATGTGCCGCCCTTCTTGCTTGGGCGCCATGCTTAGCAGGCCTTGGGCCTAAAAACGAAGGGTGCGCTGTGTTGGGTCAGCCTTCGGTTTTGTTTTGGGTTTGGGTCTAGCTGGGGCCTTGGGCTTCACTGGCGGAACAGCTGCTGGCATGCCTAACTGAGATCGCAAACCTACAGAAACGGACTGACCAACTGCTCCTTGCACTCCTGTGGACTGAGTGACCTCGCCTTGGCACTCCGGCAACCAAAATGGGATTTTCACACCCCCTCTTGGACTGATGCGGCACCTAGTGTCTTTTGAGCAAACTTTACAAGCTCTAGACCTAGCTTTTCAGGATAGAACCCTGAATCTTTTAATTCCACCTGTACATGTTCATGCACTTGGTCACATTCCCTTTTAGGAAACACTTTGACCCAGCGTTTACTGTTCGTGGCAAAGTACCACCGTTTAAACACACAGTCGTACGCACAGCGGTCTACCACAATACCCTCAGAAAGCCCCAATTCTGAAGCAACCTGAAGATACCGCGGGTCCTTCCAGAGGTCGTTCTGCAGAGGCCACTCTTGAGTCAACAACAAGCGTTCACTCCGAGCAACCGGTTTCAACAAACCTTCAAGAAGTTCCCAAGCACGCTGATGCAACTTCTTCTTCTCTTCCCACTTCTCTTGACTGTACTTGCGCCACCCGCGGTAACGCAAACGACACCCAGTGGTACAGGGAGTGGAGATATGGCAGTAGATCTTCGTCTTCAAGCCACAACTCAACACAGAAAACAACTCCTTCAGAAAACACTGCGTCTGCTCAGAACAAAAGTCAAGCTTTTCAGTGACGCCCACATAGGCAATCTCAAGCTTCTCACATGCCTTCTGTAAGGCACTTTCTTCCTGGCAGAACAGTTCAACGACCACAAAGGTGACCTGGTTCTTCGCCACTGCTTCACACAGTGAAACGTACTCCTCAGGAACAAAAGAACGGTTTACCGGCTCTTCTGCAGTCAGGCGTTCCAGCTCAAACTCACCCAACTCGTCTTCAAAAGAAACCAAACCGGTTACCTCGTAGAGGTTGTCCAGCTGCTCCTGAAAGACCATACTCTTGGTCAGGCCGTCGGAGGCATTATATGCTCCGGCCACAAACTCGAGGATCACTCTCCCCGACTGAACCATCTGCTGCAGGAAAGCACACCGCAACTCCAGGTGACGAACCCTTCTCAAGAGTCCCTCCATTGAAGCAATCGCCTTTGCCGACTCAGAATCGGTACAAATCCGGATCCAAAAGCTTCCGGTATCATCCTCAGGCAATCCCTCCAAAAACGACTGTTGAAGCAACCCTGCAAACAAAGCCTCTTTCACAGTCTCTACCAAAGCACTCAATTCAGCCTCGGCACTGCTCAGGGCCACAACCGTCTGTTTACGGCTAAAACTCTTCAACAGGTTGCACTGCCAGCAGATAATCGCCCCACTCACAGAGGGCAAATTCCAGCTAGCATCACAGAAACAATCGATCACACGCGTACTTTCCGAAGGGCGATAGTTCACCCACTGTGCCGGGATCCGCTGAACCCGATTCCCAAGCGTGAGAATCCAACGCAGCACAGCTCGAATACACGCTTCACTCCTGGAGTCTGGGTTGCTCTGGCTCCGGGCCAGAAAACCTACAACAAACTGCAAATCAGCTCTTGTCAAAGCTAGCCACGACAGTTTGCCCAACACGCGCCGGTAGCGCTGATAGGCCTCATGCGTGATCGGGGTGGATTCCAGACTGGTCCACAAACGCTCAAGCTTGGGGAGTTTCGCTCCCTTCGTGATTTGATACTCTTCCGCACAGCTATGGAGCATCCCGGGTTTGAGTCCGAAGTACAAGTCTCCGGTCTTCCTCTGATAAATGTTTCTCCCAAGGAAGGAGATCACCGATTTCTCTCCCGGTTGAAGCGTTCCCGTGCGCTTCATCTTGAACACTTTACTCAGTTCCTCAAACACTTTCTCAGCTACACTCGCAACCGTGCTGAAAACCAAGATGTCATCTACATAGGCCAACACCAACACAATGGCATCCTTGCCTTTCTCCTTGATCACCTTGCGATACACAGTGCTGTCAGCAGTAACAAAGAAACCAAGTTTTCTCAGTGTTTCTCCTAGCTCACGAAACCAAGCCAAAGGCCCAATCCGCAAACCATTCATGGCACGCTTCAGCAGACAATGCACACGTTCACCTGACACTGTCCTACAGTTCTCCGGCAGCTTCACCACCTCAGTAGAAAACAGCTTAGCCTGCATGAAGGCCACAGAAATATCTCCCGAAATCACCTTCCCTCCGAAATGCGCATACATCCCCAACAGACACCTCACAGACTCTAAGGTAGTAGTAGGAGAATAGATGCCATCAGCTAAAGCAGAGGTGGGCCCTTTAAAGTCACGCACAACCAAACGGCAGCGCACACGCTTGTGCCCGTCCTTGTAGTGCAACACCCACCTGGTGGAAAGCACTCTCCTCTTAGCTTCCCGCACAAGGCGAAACGCCTCCTTCTCAGACACAACCTGGCACACACCAAAGTGGTCCAGTTCCTCCATTTCAAGACGCATCCCTTCCCCAAGTTTCTTCTCCTCAAGAACCTCCCCAGTATACTCATCAGCAGCCCCAGAAGGAACCTCAACCTTCACCTTGGACCCTCCAAACTTCAAAGTAAACTCCAACTTGGCCGCCCTAGACCCTTTAGCGTCCTTTGCCGCGAACACAACCTCAGGTCTAGAACACATGGAGTACAAAGCATGGTCCTCCAGCCAGCTGATCGCCACCTCCATGGGGTCATCATCGTCGGCCGGCTGCATGTCCACATCGTACAAAGGTGGGGCCTCGTTCTCTCCTGCAGGGGGCCCTTCAGGGAGTACCTCTTCCTCCTCAACTGGAGAAGGATCATAGTCCATAAGCTCATCCTCCAAGAGCTCAGCTGGAGCCTCCGGCTCCGCACTCCCCCTCTCAACTAGATTACCCTTAGGCTCTCCAGGCTGAAAGGCTTCGGGGGGCTTCAGGTCTAAGGAAACAGGACGCTCTAAAACGTTGTCTTGCCTAGAAGGGGCACCCGAATCAGCGGCTTGTACCACCAACTCCTCAGGATACAGGTAAGGCTGGTCCGGCCGAAAGGCCGACATCACCTCGACCTCATCAGGCCGATCAAGAGGGAGCACACGCACTCCTCCACCATTGGGCTTAGCAGGCCCTAGGTACATACACGGGATGAGGCGGCGGCCTCGATTCTCAGGCTTCTGCTTCGCAGGTTTGGCAAAACCCTTGCACCCAAAAGGAAACGTCTTCGTTACTGGAAGATGTTGGCGTCTCAGCCTTTCAATTGGCGTGGTTTGCGACTTCGAGGTCGCATGCAGGTTCCTTGTCCTAGCAACATATCTCAAAGCTTCCTTGTACAACAAACCACCCAGCCGGAGCTTCTTCTCCAGCGTAGTTTCTAGCGTCAACCAATTCACCCAGAAGGCTTCCTTCAAGTGTCGCACACCTACCTCCACAAGCCCTTTCGACTGCGGCCGTCCTTTCGGCACCGCGTCTATGTGCAACGAGAGGCCTGGGTATGAGCGGTCTTTTCCCACCTTGTTCCAAAGCGAGATCAGAGACGCTTCATTATCCATCCTCAGCACAACATGCTGACCTTGAATACCTGCGGCGGCCAGCTCGGCGTTTATACACCGTGCAACATGCCCTGGATCACCTCCTGTGGGGTAGGGCACAGCGAAACAATATCCGCTAAGCTCGTGCACCACAATGCACACTCTCAGGTCTTTCGTAAAGAACAAGAAGTCGCTTAAGAAGCTTGCTTGCGGAATTGAAGGATCTTTGCGCCTTCGCGCTGGAATCACTCCTCGACTGGACACACACAAAGAACACGAAGGCAGATAGGGCTGATGGCCCCGAGCAACGTGCTCCTGATACTCTTTATCCTCCAGTGGAACATGAAGTTCCCCTTCTTCAGAAATATCCCCAGCATCTTCAGCAGCAGGCTCGGCTTCAACAACCGGTGCTGGAGCTGAGGCTTGGGCGGGTTCCGCCTGCCTTGGTGGATCACCATCCGGAATCAACTCTTCATCGGAAATCGTCACTTCCACCGGAAGTCCACGCATCATGCACAAACGGTGTGGCGGCTCAGACACTTTCTCATCCCAGCCACCTTTCACCTTCAAAGGCTCCGACCTTAGGTCATCCCAGCCACAAGCACAACACAACCACAAGCCACGCACACGCTCCAAGCCACAACAGCACAAGGACCGCAGACGCCGCACACCAACCAGCACAAAACACTCCACGGCTTCAGAGGCTCTCGGTGCTTTGCTGGCTCTCGGTGCTTCGGGGGCTCTCGGTGCTTTGCTGGCTCTCGGTGCTTTGCTGGCTTTCGGTGCTTCGGGGACTTTCGGTGCTTTGCTGACTCTCGGTGCCTCGGTGACTTTGGACGTTTTGGGGGCTTGGGCTCTCGGGGCTTCTTGCGCGTACCCTGGCAAACACACTCGCACAGAGGGCCCCAAGGCTTTAAGTAGAGCCTGAGCCTTTCTCACAAAACCCTCGCAAAACACTTGCAGCACGTCACTGGGCCTCCAGGCTTCTGTGGGGGTCTGGGCCTCACACTCACTTGCAAAACCCTTCCCAAAAACCCGTAAAACCCTATAGCGCTGCAACCTCAGAACTTCACCCTTTCTACCGAGCACACCCGGACACTCACCACACTCAAAGCAACCTACTCTCACAGAAGATCGCTTCCACTTCCTCTTCAGACGCATCCTTTTGCACCCTGCGGTTGGTCGCACGGTAGGTCTCAGATAGAGACAGAGCGGGAGCGCCTCTTGGAGCCGCGTCCATGTTGCGTTGACCCTTGGTCTGGAGGGCCATACGAACCACCGAGTACCCGTTGTGTTGGGCGGATCGGTGCCTTGCTCTTTGGATCGGTCGGCGGGGCTTGCAGCAAAAGCGATCTGTGGTATCCCAGAGGCGGCTGCGGTCCCAGCAAAAACGATCCTTGGTACCCCAACGGCGGG